ACTAATAAAAAAAAAATAAAAACGGAAAATATGCCTTGACTGGGAAGACTAATTAGTTGTTTCACGTTATAAAAAAATTCATCCCAAAGTTTTTTATTTGATTTTGGTGTTGGAGATGTCTAGTTTAATTAAAATATTACAAAAAGTTGTATATAAATAAATCGATCATTTTGTATTGAAAGTTTTAATCCTAATTTTATTTATATGTCATGTCATCTCAACCGATTTAATTAAGTGAATTGAAATATTTGATCAAAATCCATTTATCTGTGTCCAATGTTTTTTTGCATCGTAAATTGTCACCGTTACTTTAACGAAGTTAATTTGTTTTCGGAGGTCATATTTTACGATTAGATTATCATCTATTAAAAACAGTTCGTAGTCTTTGCATACATCGTAAATTGTCCCATACATAAATAAAGGTCGTAGTCGTTGCATACATCAATTAACCATGAAACCCTACGTGGATGCTGGTTTATGTACGTCTCTCGAACGCTAGTACACACGAGATATACTATGCTTTTATATCATAAAATCAAAAAATGAACATCATGAAAACAACAATTCAAGAAAATGATGACAGACCACTAGTTATGTTACAAGTGTTGAAGTACAAACTGCCTTTAAATTATTGAAATTAATACGCATTGGGTGTTGTGGAAATCTACAATCCAAACATTTATACGTTCGATGGTTTTGCATGCTCTCAAAAGGCAAAATATTTAAGAGGAATAGTTGGCACCTATACAAGTGTATATCAGTTTTTAACTTTTTAGTTCCAGACAATCGACACATGGTTTAACCAGTTTACAACTAGTGGGAAATACGTTTATAATATTAATTAAATTTTAATACTAAAAATTTAAAATTATTAATTGTTTATTTTAAATAAATTATTAATTAAGATATTTTGATTATATAAAATTATAATAATTAATTTTAAAAAATAGGTAAAATTAGAACACTTTATAATTTGTATTAATTTTATTTTAATTTTTATTATAATGTAAAATTATATTACTTTATAATCATACCAGTACCACCACCAACTTAATCACCATCCTCTACCAACTCCCCCACATCCGCCACCTCTACCACAAATATCTCAACTACCAACCACTATAATCGAATATCAATAATCAATTGTGAATAGATATATACAAATAATCATATATGATCATACTTAGTTTTATATTCACATATAAATTATGTCAACCATCGTATCGACACACTTGACTGGCATATGACAAATGTTGGAAGCGGTGACAATATTGATAGTGGTAGTGGTGGTGGCAGAGATGGTGAATGGCAGAGGTTTTGGTGGTGGTGGCATTAACAACGGTTAGCGGTACAAATGGTGGTGACATGATAGAGGTGCTGAGAGAGCTAGTAGAGGTGGTGGTGGCGGAGGAAAGGGAATTTGTTGGCGCTAGTACGTAATATATTCATATATGAATATATTTAATTTTATATTCACATATGAATATTACATCTCCCGTCTCGCGGGTATAGCTGAGAGTTTTCGTAGTAATGAATAAATGTGGCCCATATATGTGTATGTGTGTGTATGTATGTGTGTGTGTATATATATATATATATATATATATATATATATATATATATACACACACACACACATAGAGAGAGAGTGAGAGAAAGAGAGAGAGTGGGACAAAGAGAGAGAGAGAGAATCAATATCAAATAAGAAAGAAATTTTTTATAGATGGTAAGAAGTTTTTTATATACATATTTATTTAGCGAACCGGCAAAACGATACATTAAATTATTCAAAAGTAATACGATTTATTAGGAAATAAGGGAGAGGGAGATGGAGAGAATCCATATCAAATGAGAAAGAATTTTTTTATAGATGGTAAAAAGTTTTTTATGTGCATATTTTTTTAGCGAACCGACAAAATGATTCATTATATTATTCAAAAGTAACACGATTTATTTGGAAATAATCCTTAAGAAATATTTTCATTAATCATTTTTTAGTAAGTCAACCAAAAATTTAGTTTATGGACAAAATTAATGAACGACTATAATGCACGTATGATACCAAAACGACGTAGTATATTAGGTTTAATTTCCATTATATATATATATATATATATATATATATATATATATATATATATATATATATATATATATATATATATAGAGAGAGAGAGAGAGAAAATTACAAAAATGGTCCCTATGGTTTACCAAAAGTTAAAAAGTTAGTCCCTGTTAATTTTTTTATGCAAATGGTCCTTGTGGTTTGCAAAACTTGCAAAGTTGGCCCTTTTTACTAATATCGTTAGGGATTGAATCTGTAAGGGCATTTTTGTCTTTTTAAGTATAAATGAATTAAATTCGTGACATTTAATAAACCACAGAGACCATTTTTAAAGTTTGTTTGGAAAAACTAAGTTGATTGACTAAAGGAAGGAAGGGAGGAAGACTCGAACTTAAGACCTCCACCCCCCTAATATGACAAGGGGCCTTAACCATTTGAGCTGGAAGCTCACTTAATTATATGTTAATACATAATTAATAAATAAATTATTAAAAACATTTTTTTGCGTAATTTTTTTTTAAATAACACAAAATTTATTTTAATCGTATTATAAAAAAATAGTTTTTTACGATCAATTTGTATGTATTTTTTATGTATTTATTTAACATAAAATATATTTTTTATATCTTTAAAAAATACATTTCGTATAAAAATACTTCATTCGTCTCAAAATTATAGTCCATCTTTCCTTTTTGGTTTGTCCCAAATTAATAGTCCACTTCTCAAAATAAATAACATTTTTACCAAAATACTCCCTCATTATTACTTAACCAACTAAGCATTTAATGAACATTAAATGCAAAATAATGACAAAACTGTCATTTTATTATATAAAATTAGTGGTAATTAATGATTTTCTTAATCTGTGTGTTTTTTATCTGTGTACAATAATATTGGCACGGAGGGAGTATGTTTTTGTAAAATATTTTTTTATGTCTCTGAAACAATAATAATTAGCACTACTCACAACATAAAAATATATATAAATTCTTTTGGGTCGCTAGTTCTAAAATACGTATTTCATCTTATTTAAAATACAGATTTCATTTTATTTAAAATACATATTTTATCTTTTTTAAATACATATAACCGGAAAACGGTTTTCAGAAAACTAACTGGACCAATCGGTTTTCTAGAAAACCATTTTACGGTTATATGTATTTAAAAAAAAAACTTATTCGGTTTTATATCTTATTTAAAATATGTATTTCATCTTAATCATAAGTTCTAAATCGTATGGTTAAAATGAAGATGAAAAGAAATAGTTATATAGCTTTTTGAAATAACGATAATTAATTGTATACTTGACATAAAAAAAAATACCGTATAAATTATTTAAATACATAACAAAATCGTTGTTAAGTTCTTTTTAATACATATAACCGAAAAAACGGTTATAGAATTAGCGACCCAAAATAATTTAAATATATTTTTTATATCATAATTACTGTTAATTATTATTATTTCAAAGTCATAAAAAATATATTTTACGAAAACATATTTTTTATACGAAAACATATTTCTAAAGATATAAAAAAATTTTACGTTAAATAAATATATAAAAATACATACAAATCGTTTGTGAAAAACTATATTTTTATAATACGATTAAAATAAATTTTGTTTTATTTAAAAAAAATTATGTAAAAAAATGTTTTTAATAATTTATTTATCATTTATGTATTAATGTTTTCGTTATTATATAATTTGGTTTTAGGAAGTTATAACCATGTGAGCTTCCCGCTCAAATGATAAATCCCTTTGTCATATTAGGTGGGTGGAGGTCTAAATTTTGAGCCTTCCCCCTTTTTTTAGTGAATTAATTTTCTTTTTCCAAACAAACTTCAAATATAGTCCTAATGGTTTATCAAATGTCACGAATTTAGTCCACTTATACTTAAAAAGACGAAAATGCCCTTACAGATTCAGTCCTTAACGGTTATATACTAACAGTGTTAGTAAAAAGGACCAACTTTGCAAGTTTTGCAAACCACAAGAACCATTTGCATTAAAAAAAATTAGCAGGGACTAACTGTGGTATGCATTTTTTTGGGGTTTTGATCCAAACCATGAGTTTTTTGGTTTTGTGGTCCTTTTGGACTGGTTTGTTTGTGAGAATGGTCCCTATACTTTACATACGTTAAAAAGAATCCGTTAACCCCCTCATGTGCCTTGCATGTGAGGGTATTTCTGTCTTTTTACTTACAGGGACCATTTTTGCATACAAATGTCAATGTTTCCTCCTACCTTTTATCCCTTATTTACAATCCCAAACACCCGTCAACTCCCCACCTCCCTCCTTCTTCCTTCTGCTCCATTAAACCTGCAAAAAAACATATTTCGTTATCCAAAGAACCTAATCGAAGCAAAAGGAGACAAGGTCATACTTTAAAGTCGAAATGGTGTACGTAATGTGGTAGATCAGACCAAAAAATGAAGTTGTCGACGTATCATCCTTATATGGTAAGTTGCTCTGTTTTTTTAAACATTCCTATTTTTCATTTTACCCTTGATTTATACTAAAATCTGCCAAATTTTGACTTTGTTATCATGTACAATTTTGACTTGTAGCGGGTGCACCCACATGATTTAGTATTAAGCTTCATCATGGTGGGAGGTTTACTAAGTTACCTGACATAAAGTATACTGGAGGTGAAGTGCATTATGTTGATTATGTGGACATAGATGAGTTTTCTGTACATAAACTTGATGCCATAATGCTTGAGCTAGGTTACCCAGACCCACGGATGATTGAATTGACTGATGAATCCCCAGTGATATACTATCATTTCAGGATACCCAATGGTGATTTCAATTTGGTCTTAGAGCTTTAGGGAATGATCAGGATGTTATCAATCTTTCTAAATTTATTCAAAATACCAAGTTGATTGAGGTGTACACAGAACATGGGAAGATAAATCTACTCACATACTTCATGTCTCCAAATGCAAAGGGTAAAGTTGTCATTGAGGAATTACCAGAAAATGATGATCAAAGGGCTAAATATGAGGCTGAAGTTCATGTAGAATCTCCATTGAGAAATATGAACCATATCAATGATGAGCCAATTGGTGAGTACATGTCTTTGATTCTTTTTAGGAGTAAAACTGAGGCATTCTCTCCAGAGTATAGAAGGGGTAGATTTGGGAATGCAAAAAGAGAGGAAGGTTCTTGTAGCAAGAGGCTTAATTTAGAGGATATTGATGATTTAAAAGAGAAGGAAAACACTAATGAAGATGTTAAGGGGGTTCATGAGGCTGCAACTGTTGTTGAAGGATGCTACAATCTATTTACTTCAAATATTGCTAATGTAGGGGATGAGATGATTGGGGTTCATGATAATGACCATATTGATAGATGCTACAACACCCCACCTATTAATTGTTGGGTTATGAGCATTCTAACACTCCTAAGTGTACATGCAACCCTAAATACCTTGGATCAATGTTTTCTCTATTATACATGCAAATATGAATATCCAAGGTATTATCCTAAACTAGCATACAAAACTATCAATATAACAAGATAGAATACATACCTCTTTGATGGTGCTTGTCTTCATGAAGCTTGAGTGCCTAGTGCCCCAAGTGTGACACCTCAAATGGTTCACAATCATCAAAACACTTAGAATAACTTAGAGAGAATTCTACACTTCATGAAAATCGGCTAGCCCTTTCTTATTCTCACTAGTGGCCGATTTTTCCTCAAGAATAAGATGCTTATATAGTTATACAATTAGGGTAAACCCTAATTGTCATGACTTTCCATTTCCTTGGATCCATGGGTTCAAATACACCATGGAGCATCCATGGAGCATCATATGGGTTTTGGCCTAACTAGATAATCCATGGAGCATTAGCCCACTATACAAGTATGGATGATTTACACAATCAACCCATATATTTAATTAGTCTGCTTTTGATCACTCAATTAATGCTAGATTAATTCTTGATCAATACTAATTAAATAATCTCATTATTCTTATTATTAATATACTAGAACTTATAATATATTAATAACCATAAGTGTCTTATTTCTCTCATTTAGTCTATCCAAGTGCATGATGGTATGCAACCCAAATGGACCATGTCGGGTCGGGTCAAGTCTTACCAATTATAGTTATGGACTTAGACATTAATCCAACAGTCTCCCACTTGGATAAGTCTAAAACTATTATTGCGTATACTTCAGGAACCAACTGGCAATCGTAGCTCTCAAAAAGCTTCTGTCGAACTCTGACCTTGTAGATGAACTCTGATCTTGTCAATGACTTGTCCATTAGATAAGGGATCATATATTCCTCCATTCTAGATATCATATGACTGAGACATGGATTATAATCATTCATGGATTGTAATCATTCTCTCTGTCCATTTGTTGTTTCCCGATTTCCGATTTATGACGACTGACTAATTGAACAAATCAAATCAGTCCTGGCCCGGCCGAGCACTTCCATTTGTCATCATCAAATCATCGAGGGGCCCACAGATATCGCTTTTATCCCGAAGGTAAAAGGAATGGATAAACTTCGACTCATATGGCTTGTTCTACTACTTGTTGAATCATACACAAAGACACGTTTTATAACATCGAGTTACCAATGCATTTTCGTGCAATCAATGTACAACCAACTCATAGTAACAACTCATATCTCTAGGTTTGAAGAATATAAGATATTATCGTCTCATGATCACTCGTGATAAAATCCATGAAGTGATTCCAATGAGCGCGGGTTGAATCCAATACTCAGAACTTATGAGCACTCATGAGTGTTGTAGCCATTTGTCCAACACCTTAGACCTCTACAAGCCAACCCATGACAGTCTTAATTCATATCTACTTCCAACATATGACCGACTGTGGATGGTTTGAATAACTTAGTCATTCCGGAAGAATAACCTAGTTTATTCGGGAAGTCAAAACATGCAAAATGAAACACAATAATAATTGAATCCAATATGGTCTCAGAACTTATGAATATAAATAAAACACTTTTATTTATCACCATATGATTACACATTATTCATTGTATACTGTTTCAGCTATCAACATTATTCTTGAATTTAAAACAATAGTTGTCCCATGCTCCAAGCATGTACACTATGTTTTTCTAAACACTAGTCATGCCATACACCAAGTATGCATACTATGTTTGTCTATGATCTTTACTTTGTGAACTAGATCAATTGAACATAACTTCAATGATTCTCTTTTCACACTCCCAAATCCTTACTGCAATGCAAGAATTCCAAATTCATGCCATTTACTGAAATCTGTTAGATTCTAAACTTATATGCATTGATCCTCTTGTAACGATTATGCACAAATTCACAAAGACTTGGCAACAATCAATACAGATCATTCCAAAGGAGATCAACTCCTTTGAACCATCCTTCTTGCATTAAGTTTCCTTAATCTTACACAAATTGAAATTTCTGACTTTGAAACATTTCCAGATTCATTTTGACTATCACTTCTGAACAAGAGTTGCCTCCTTACAGATTATGTCAATATGGTCCTTCCAGAATTATCACTATACTTCCAACTGTCCTTGAGCAACCAATCTTTGGTAAACCTTAGATTGTCCTCGACAATTGTTTAATCCTTTTAGTCATATCCAGTTCTAAACCTTTTCCCTTCTTAATGCCCCAGGCATTTGGAAACTTTTAGAAAGGATGATATAGCACATGTAATCGATCCTATATCCGAAGCATATGGGACACGATTCATGATGTCTCACATAAAGACTAAACCAGTCTTTTGCTATAACATTTCCATTTCTATTTGCCAAGTTCTCATAATTCAGATTATGAAAAGGGATGCCGTAATCATAATCGAATTTTAGAACGCAAATAATGGACCCATATACAGAATTTCCTTATGTTGAGCCATTCCAACATGAAATTCATATATATTCCTTGACTAAATGATTAAAACCTCACGATCTAAGCTTATAGATTTGAGATGAAGTATAATTTCCTCTCCCTTAATTATAGCAAAACAACTTTTTCCCAATTGAAACCTTTTGTTTTCTATAATTAACATTGCTAACTTGCAATCTTTATCATAATTATCATGCTCCCACTAACATGATGATTATTAGCATAACACTTATGCTCCCACTAGCTTTGACATGTACTCAGAAATCAGCTGGACTTCTAGAAATCAATACTTTATTGACTTTCTTACCAAAGTTCAGATTTCTGATACTGGATTGTTTTGATAAAACTTTATCAAAATCATACACCTTCCCTTAGATAGCACACTTGTATGTCTAAACAATTATGAAGAGGGATGCCGTAATCATAATGATTAGACCTTTTTGCCACTTCTCACAAGTCCAGGTTAGTGTGCCGGTAAACCACACACGCTCCACTAACGACTTTGAGAATGCAAATATCACAATTGCTATCTAACTAAAATCTACTTAGTGAAAGTGTTTCCTCACCATCATTTTCATGAATCGGAGAGAAACCTTATGACACTTAGATTTAATGGTGTATGTGTTCTTATCCATGTGAATTGTCAAAACCATAGTCACAAGACAAGGATAATGACAAATCCAAACTCATATGGACTGAACTCAATCTTAATTTCTTGCCACCTGGCAGCTCAAGGGCCTGCCATTGCTTCCAAGTTGTTGTGCAACACATTGAGAACTCTAAGAACTCATATGCAAAGCCAACTTTAACTGGAATGGGCACAGAAATGTCAACACGATAGGTTATAAACCTCAAGTCGTGTGCTAGTGAAGAACTTCAGGTTTTATTCTTGATTAGTTCTTGAGACTTTCAAGACCTTTAAGACTCCCACTGTCCTCTTGACATATAAGACTCTCTTGTCAAATATCAAGAGATAGTGTGGATTCTATCAAGACAAACACTTCACACAATTGGCCTAGTTGGTCTTTGTTTTATCCAAAACATCACAACTTACCAATTTCAAATGTACAAGAGTAGAAAACTTTTACTCTTACATTTGACAAGTGTTTTAAACCTTCTTTAAGACATGTCACTCAAGGACTCTAAGACTTGTATTGGAACGAAGTATGACTCATCTTCTTGATTTAACCATTTCAACAATTCAAGATCCCTTCTTCTTAGTCATAAGAATGCACTAAGACTTCCTTAGAGAACTAATTTTGATATGGTTTCTTAATCATTAAGATGATCACAAAACTGATACTAAAGTACTCTCCCATCTTTTCAGATTTGAGAAACTTTTATCCTTCTGCCTAATTTGATTCTTCTTATTCGCTCTGCTGTGCATTGGAACCTTTTCCAATGTCTCAGAGTTACACTTATGCTTGTAAGTATAATCATATTTACTAAGCTTTAGTAAACTATGACGAATAGCCTTATATCTTTTGTGGTGGACTTAATCAGTGCACAAGACTATGTACTCGATCCCTTAGTCCATTACTTGACTCACACATCCATGTGAACAAGTAATTAGTCTTAATTTTCCAATACTTGAAAGTTCTCATTCATCATGCTATAGAACTTGCATGATTCCAAGTCCGGTCCAATTGAGACTTTGGATGATGAGAATCTTTCCTTATTTGGTAAATTTAGACATTACCACAAATGAAGAATCAATTTCATATTTCCACTCTTGCTATTAATGGAATCATATAAGCAACAATTTTTCCTCAAATGCCATTGTAAGGATATTTTAAAATAAATAAAACAAAATTTTCTTTTATTTTAAAACTATGCGGAAAAACTTATCCTTACAATCCATATGAAAACTTGTTGTTATCTATTCCTAAGCAAGATCTCATAACTCCTAAGAAGTAGCTCAAGAATCATCTTCAAACTATGCGATAGAAATCCATCTACGCGATCAGATTCAACATATTCTTTCTTTAAGTTTCTTCACTTTTCTTTGATTCTTAAAACATCACCATGTGACCCAGTCACATCATGTATCAGGAATCTCAGAATAGAAACTTAACAGAGTTAGATAGTGGACTTTACCTGAAGTAGAGTCAAACTTATTGACTTTAACATCCTTAGGTAAATTTGGCAGCTTCGCAACTAATGACCCTTACTTTGGCAATATAAACATATGGACCCTTTGATAATGGTACACAGGACTATTACAGACTTAGCCTTTTCTCTTTACCATTTGGTCAACCTAGTTGACTATGGTCAATCCCTTTCCTTGGGAAGAGAATGTTTTTTCTGTATTTCCAGTGTCACCATTGTCAATGTCCATAAAGTTTCAGGAAGTTGATCTTAGCAAATAGATAAGATCATTAAGGGTCTTGTCATAGTCTGTTTCATAGGTGTTCCAAAAGAACTCACTATGTGACTTAGAAAGTAGTTGAACCACCAACTTTCTCAAGACTTTGACACCCAACTCTCCCGGCTTGTCAATATGTGACTACATCTCCAAGATGTGACACACCAGACCTTTACTTGCCAATAGGGCTCGAGTGACTTAAACTTTTAAAGAACTTGTGGGTAGGGAGAATAATTGGAGGAGGTGAAAGAAGTATGATTTCCATGGGACATCATCTTCATTTAGGAAAGCTTGTTTCAAGAGATTTGGGAAGATCATAAATGTCTAAACCAGACATCTTTTTGGGAGATATTCAAGATAGTTGATTTTAAAGTCCTTAATATGACACCCAATATGAAATATTAAGGCTAGGACCCAACAACTATTTTATAACTTAGAAGAGGTATGCCGTAATCCAAGCTATAAAACAATTTGAAGGTAGGTGAATGACGATTCACCAATTTCCACCAAGATAAACGAAATGTATTATTAGGTTTTAATTGGTTTTGAAACTCCTAGATCTTTTGAGATTCATTGAACTGTTCAATGGCATGTTTCAATCTCGAGTGTGCCCTTCAGGTTTTGTGACTGGGATGCCGAGGATCACAAAACAAGGTGTGAAGTAACCATGCAAATTACTTGGTACCCTTAATAAATTACCCCTCAATCGATGTGCCGGTTAACCACACACGCTCCATCGATACTATGATAAATATTAAGTCACCCTTTACCTACCTTGTTAAGTCCAAGTTAGTGTGCCGGTTAACCACACACGCTCCACTAACCGACTTAAACAAAGTGCAAAGTGTAATTTCATGGATTAGCACCTTATTCACATTTTCCTAAGTAACTAAGATTGGGTATTATTAAGAGTTTAGTTACTTAGTATTTATCATTAATACTTTTAATGAAGGGAGAATTATAGTCCTGTCAAACCCGTTCGGCTAACGACCCTCCACCAGTCAAGCAAGCGGTGGGTGAGAGTGGACACCCATTAAGTTGCCATTTTATAGGCAACAACCTTATACCCACCTTATAGACCGGCTTCGTGAATGAGGCGTACTAGCGGTAAGACTGACTTTACTCTTATACATATATATATTATTAACTTATAATATTATAAAGTATAAGGGTTGAATTTTAACTTTTAAAATTCTAAGGGCTAACTTGGAATTAAAGTATTCATAAGAGAAAACTTTACAAATTCCAAAACTTGAGGGCAAGTTTTGAAACTATTCAAAACTAATTAATTCCATAACTTATGTATTTAAAGTAGTTTTAATCCAAAAACTCTTCAAGTTCCATAACTTGAGGACAAATTATGGAAGACTTTAAACTAATAAAGAATTAACTTTTCTTTATTTTATAACTTATGGAATTAATTAAGGTTACATTATTTTTATTTTTATTATTTATTTAATGAAGAGACTCTTGGTCCTCCATAACTTGAGGACAAATTATGGAGTCATAACTCCAATTAATTAGAACTAGACTCTTCATTTTTGTAACCTTTGCCAATTTTATGAGTTTTATGAGTCTTTAATGTGACTCTTCATGTAACTTGAGGACAAGTTACACAAACACATTTTATACTCAACTCTTAGATTAAAATGGATTGAAAACAACTATTTCAATTAACTTTTCTATTAATCTAAGCAACTCATAAGAACAAGATAATTCAAATCAAACTTTTTCATGTAATTAGTCTAACCTTTAAACTAATACAAAACATGAATCTATTGACAATTATCTTTGAAAATGGATTAGCATGAACATTACCACATTAAAAAACAAGTTTATAAGTTCAAAAACAACTTAGGGTAATGTTCCTAGTCCATTTCTAGCCAAAAATCTCGAAAATATGCTGTCTGGGGTCCAACTCGTCGAGTGCATGAACACGACTCGGCGAGTTGGATGCATTTTGCCTTGGACTCGTTGAGTCCCTTCATGGACTTGGCGATTCTGCTGGGCTGACAGCACCAATTTCGATTTTTCAGCTTCTATTGCAGGTATAACAAGAAAACAAGCCTAGGCTCTGATACCACTGTTGGGTTATGAGCATTCTAACACTCCTAAGTGTACATGCAACCCTAAATACCTTGGATCTATGTTTTCTCTATTATACATGCAAATATGAATATCCAAGGTATTATCCTAAACTAGCATACAAAACTATCAATATAACAAGATAGAATACATACCTCTTTGATGGTGCTTGTCTTCATGAAGCTTGAGTGCCTAGTGCCCCAAGTGTGACACCTCAAATGGTTCACAATCATCAAAACACTTAGAATAACTTAGAGAGAATTCTACACTTCATGAAATCGGCTAGCCCTTTCTTATTCTCACTAGTGGCCGATTTTTCCTCAAGAATAAGATGCTTATATAGTTATACAATTAGGGTAAACCCTAATTGTCATGACTTTCCATTTCCTTGGATCCATGGGTTCAAATACACCATGGAGCATCCATGGAGCATCATATGGGTTTTGGCCCAACTAGATAATCCATGGAGCATTAGCCCACTATACAAGTATGGATGATTTACACAATCAACCCATATATTTAATTAGTCTTCTTTTGATCACTCAATTAATGCTAGATTAATTCTTGATCAATACTAATTAAATAATCTCATTATTCTTATTATTAATATACTAGAACTTATAATATATTTAATAACCATAAGTGTCTTATTTCTCTCATTTAGTCTATCCAAGTGCATGATGGTATGCAACCCAAATGGACCATGCCGGGTCGGGTCAAGTCTTACCAATTATAGTTATGAACTTAGACATTAATCCAACAATAATGATGATGAACAATATAATGAGCTTTTTGATAACCTTATGGAAAATTTAATTGGAAGTGATGAGGATGTTGAAGAGTATGAAGGGGATGATGAATCTGAAGAGAGTGATGAAGAGTATGAAAAGGATGAAGGTGATGATCATGATGGGAAACAATCAGAAAATGAAGATAAAGTGGATGACATAATTGATGAGGAGAACAATATAGAAGATGTTGATGTGGACATAGCAGACTTCTTTCTAAATGTTGAAAGTGATGTTGAAGGAGCATGTATTAATGATGGTCATGAACATGAAGATATGGAAGTGATCAACAATGAGGAGTTCGAATCATTGGATGAAGGATCGGACCAAGACAGAGAAAGAAGATCTCTCATAAAAAATTTAGGAAAAGAAAAAAGGTGCAGCCTTAGGTCAGTACATATACAATCATTCTCAGTGGGGTAAAAGTTTAAAAGTAAAAAAGAATTAAAGGAGTTAATTGATGTGCACGCACTAGAAACAAGAAGGAATCTATTCTTTAAAAAAAATGACAATCAAAGGCTTAGGGCATAGTGCAGAGGAGTTGTACCTGTCATCAATAAAGGTCAAGTGGGGACTCAACCTACCACTTCAAAAAGCAAGGGTAAAGAAGTAAATACACAAAAAAGAAACATGTAGTTAGTATATACATGCATCTAGGTCAAACCCCGAATCTGACTGGTTTATAAGGAACTTAAACCAAACTCATACATGATTACAAACAAGAAAACTCAGAGCTTGTACTGCTTCTTTAATCTGCAAGAAAATCATAGATCAAGTTGAGGCAGATCCGAAGATTCCTTTGAGAGCCATACAAGATCACTTTCAAAAGACCTACCAGGTGGGTAGTTCGATGGATAAGGTGTTTAGGGCAAAAGATATGGCAAGAAAGCATGTAACTGGGGACTACACAAAACAGTTTGAGTTGTTGAGGGACTATGCTCTTGAACTTCAAGCTACAAACCCAGACACAACAGTCAAAATAGATGTGTGTCCTAATGGCAACCCTACATCCCTAAGAAGGCAGTTTAGAAGGATTTATGCATGCTTGGGTCCACTGAAAAAAGGTTTCAAAGCATATCTTAGAGACTTAGTAGGTTTGGATGGTGCCTTCGTGAAAGGCCCATTCCCTGGTCAGGTTCTTACAGCAGTTGGTCTAGATTCCAACAATGGAATTTATCCCTTGGCTTATGCAATTGTTGAGTCTGAAAACACAACTAGTTGGAAGTGCTTTTTAGAAAACCTTGGGGATGACTTGGAGCTTAGGAGCAACTCAAACTATACTTTCATAAGTGACAGGAAAAAGGTAAATTACAATTCATCAATTGATCATTTAGATTGTGTTTTTTTACCAAGAAATTAATTCTAATTATTGTATGTTGAGTCATGTAGGGATTACAAATTGCAGTTGATTAATTGTTTCCCAATGTTGAGCATAGGTATTGTATTAGACATATTCATGACAATATGAGAAAGAAGTGGGGGCAAACTGAGTACAGGGACCATTTATGGAGGTGTGCATCAGCAACCACCATTCCTGAGTTTGAACATTTGATGAAAGAGTTTAGTGAGTATGATAAGGAGACATGTCAATGGTTGAAGCAGATTCCTCCTGTACATTGGGCAAGGAGTCATTTCCCAGGTAATTGTATATGTTTTCATATGGTAATGATTATGTGTTTCAGTTATTTATCAGCATTAATTGTATGTTATTGTTATGGTAATGATTATGTGTGTATGGTGCACATTTTACGCTATATGCATAAAAAATCTAATTTGAGTATGGTTAGAGATTAAAAAGTGATTAATTTACATATTTTTAAATATTTTTTCGATAGAAATAAGCTGTAATTTTTTTTCCAAATATTATGCATTTGATGCGCATGTTGTAGGTTTTTATTTAAAAATATCAATATGAAAAGAGGTTAAAAAAATGATGAATGTGTATACTTTTTTTTTGGTATTTGATCACTTCTAAAATGAGGTTTATAAAGATAATAATAATGATCTTAAAAAATAATTATAAAAAAATGATTTGTTTAACATCTTTCTATTCTAACAAAAGATTAGTTTTAATTTTTTTTCTATCATGTGTCACTCTAATACGACTTCTCATTAATATTATGACACATGTCGTTGATATATATTTGGTAGATCATTTTAAAATTCAAATTTACTTTTTCTAAATATATGTTAAATTTAACATTATAATAATTTTAATGTTTTGATATATCTCTTAATTGATAATTTATTTAAAATAATTAATTAATAATTATAAATCTTTAGAATGAAAAGTTTACTAAATTTTATAAATATATTTCTAATAATAAATAAATATCTAATAAATAAATAAGATACTGTGATATTATGTGGGCCATTTTTGTCTATATGGAGTTGCAACTGTACTTTCAAATTTAGCTTTGATATTGAAAGGATTTACAAGAAGCTTGAAAGGGGTTTGCAACGTATTCCAATCAAAGACGACCGGACTTGAGCCTTGTGGAAAGTGGTGCCCCTCTCTCCCTTATCCATCGGTCCACCCATGAGGCCATGACTCTCTTACCCTTCTACCTTTCATATTAAATACCTCTTCTTTCAACTTCCTACAAATCCTACTTCCTTCAAATCTCTCTTTCTACATTCTTGTCTATTTTATTTATGTCAGCCTTTTTGAGTCGGTGAGTGTGTAACTTAATATACAGCAAGCTTCAGGAAATTTTACTTACAACGCCAACTTTACACGATGCAACAGAATAGGGGGTGTCGATGAGAAGTGTTGGGGAAAAGCTGGTGATTTAGAAAAGAAAGAATATATTGAGGACTAGTATGTCGGGATCTCCTTTAAAAAACGAGAAGAGATGTAACGAACATAGTTATAACTATGCATGTCCACTCTCTTCTCGACAAATGGAGTCTTTGGTTGCATTATGTGACACATTATTACCATCAATTAAAGTTTCTAAAGATCATGTTGATGATTCACTTGTCAAACTTTACCAGACTTCAGCTTCCATGACTGGAACTCCAAATCAAGTGAACTTCTAATAATCTCTTTATGAATTACGATAATTCAATTAGTTTAGTAAATTTTGCTAATGTTGTTTTATGACAATCGTAGGTTGCGATGATGATGCTATTGAAGACAGAGCACCCGAAGCAAATCTTGATTCGGTTGACCTTATGGTTCTTATCAACAGCAATCGGAACGTTGATTCTTTGCGGAAGGGAAAGTTTGTCAAATAACTTTCCTTACATACAAAAATTCTCTAGGGTTTCAACCAAGAAAAGAGAAAAAATATTGTATTCATGGTCTCTCAGCTACTTTTTTCTCCTGAGAATGTTTTTCCGTGCCCTCAAATTCGTCGTTCCATTGGCTTTCTTCACTCAGGCAAGTCCCTTTTCTTCAAATTAATCTCAAATTTACTTATGATGTGATATGATAACTTAGGATGTCAAACAATAAAAGGTGCCGTATTTTTAGACTTTTCAAGTATTTTAATAAAATTTTGAATATAAAATGTATCAACATGCATTAACTAACTAACATTTTTAGTTACGAAATAGAAAATACTTATATCTCACTTTCTAATACGGTATATAATTAAACTTATGGTGTTTGACATATCAACCTAACCGTCGTTGTAAAACGAACATACCTAATATATAGGGTCTAAGCATGCACAACCTTTTTATCACCAAACATGGATTAAAAACGCACATATTCCTGTTGCTGGTTTAATCGTTAATTACTAAACAAGGCATATTTTTCCATGCATCCGTCCAGAGATCGGTTGCTACTTGTATGAGCCATCAGGGACCGAAAGTCATATGTAATTATAGTTATCAACTGTTTAGAATTAAATTTACTTTTTGTTTAGTATAATAAAATATTTAAAAACTTATGAATTATAACAAATTTTGTATACTAAATTATCTGTTATTAACAATTACTAAAATTACATCATATAAATACTTGTAGACACACAAGTCGTATTAAAGATCACAAAGATATATATTGTCTCATATTGGAATAAGAACCAAATAAAATAATCTATATATATATATATATATATATATATATATATATATATATATATATATATATATATATATATATATATAGATTTCTTCTTAGAAAAGACAATATATCATTTCTGGTGCATGGTGTTTTTAATGGTCGTTCCTTCCTCTCCCCACAAAGTTGTACTTTGGAATTTGTTGATATTCCTAATGATGTGGTAGGTTGTTCAAATCATTTATTAAAGAACAAATATATTTTATTTTTTCCTTTTTATTTATTGTTACAGTTTTAAATGTGTACAAGGATATATATATATATATATATATATATATATATATATATATATATATATATATATAAAAGAGGGTTCAATTGAGAAAAAAAAATGTTGATAACGAGGAAATAAATCTAAGCTACTCATTTCGAATCTGCCGCTTTAGCGTTCCAGCGTACTATGCCGATGGAACAGATCATACTTATTTATGAATACGTATGAATAAATGTATTCATATATGAATATGTGTATTCATATATGAATACGTGTATTCATATATAAACACATATAGAAGAAGTGATTATTCATATATGAATATGACGGCGGCGGGTGGTGGCGGAGGTGGCGATTGTTGGTGGCGGTTGGTGGTGATGGTGGTGGTGGTTGGTGGTGTATTCATATATGAATATATTTATATTTATATTCATATATGAATATTACTTATCTTCCGTCGTCCGGTACAACAGAGCGTTTTGCGGCATAAAAGAAATTATTGGCTGAAAATGCTTTCTTAATTTTCAACATTTTTTATTTTCTCAATTGAACCTACCTATATATTGAGACCATTATATTTGTGAGACATAGGTACATAATACGAACTTGATTAGATTGATAGAAGCGGACCATGCAAGTGATCTGGAGATAAGAAGATCATTGGTGGTTGGTTTCGTTTAGAGTCTTCTTTTGATGGTAGAGAAACCTATCAAGTTATAATGATAGGTTATGCATTCAAAAGTATGGAGCCAAGGATAATCTAGAAGACATGGTGAAAAGGACATTGTAAGAGAAAAGTTTAAGCTATGTTTAGACTTGGTTGATGTTCGTAGGTGGTAAGACCCTTCGGGGCTTGATGGCAGGAAGGAAGACGAAGTTCTTGTTTAAGGTGGAGTTCAGAGAATGTTCAAGTCAAGGTGGAAATTTTTAAATGTGAGTTTAGCATTTAGAGCATTCTCATGGAGCATTTAAGTTCAATGGATCACTTGGAATTCAATGGAGCACTTGGGGTTCATGGAGCATCTAACAAAGGAACATATCATTTGAAAAGTGAATGGACATCTGACAAAGGAATGGATCAAGTGCCAAAGGAACTGATAATCTAGAAGGGGGTTTAGAGCACCTAGAAGAGGTTTAAAGTACTTAAGAGTGGAATGTAGCAACTTGATGCACCATTACACCATTTGATTTGGTGTTGGCCTAACTAGAAAGCATTTTACGATATTAGGCAAGCATGTTTCTCCATTTACATACATGTAGCACCACTTTGGATCATGTTGCGCCATTTTGGATTATGTTGCGCCACTCTGGCAGATGCTGAGCCAAAGTAGAAGAAGTTGCGCGAACCTGGAGGATCTTGTGCCTCGTTGGAAGGAAGTTGCACCACTTAGAAGGAAGTTGCACCAAGCTTGAAGGATCTTGTGCCATCCTTGCACAAGATGGGTCATCATCATGCAAGATGTACATTTTGGTTCCTTGATGAAGCATGTTATCCATGATGAGCCACGTATTCTATGAAGTCCTCTATGACACTGAAGATTGTTCAAGGTTGCTTAGAAGTTGGTGATGCTCAAGGAATACACCATGTTGTGCCACCATGATGTATGTTGGTCCATTAGTGTTCATGATGCGCCATATGTTCATCATGATGCTCCAATATGGCTCATGGTGCTTCATCATGTGCATTGTTGATGCTTATGTGTTGTATGTCATATATAAATGTTCTAGAAGCTATACATGGTGGACTGTGATTGGTTGGCACCCTTCACGGGCTTATGGGCCAATGGTTTTGACCCAGTAGGGTTTAAGGTCTGATCATTTCAGTATAAACAGGGATGTATGCTAAGTCATTTGAAGTCTCTTTTGTATCCTCAGTGAGTAGGATGAATATTTATTGGTTGTACTTGTAATCTATGTTTGAGAACTTTGTGAATAAAGAATACTCCCCTTCTATCCATGGACGTAGGTTACCTTGACCGAACCACGTAAATATTGTGTCTTTTGCGCTTTTGGTTTCATATGTTATTTTCATTACTTCCTATCAAGGGTCATCAGAGCTTGACAAATGGCATCCGATTTGTTCAGAGTCTTGACAAGTATCATTTTTTTCCTAACATTTACAATGGTCCAGAAAGTGATCACAACGGTAGAGATTATATGCTTGTTGGGTCCTTGCACTATCAATCTTCTTCTTCTTCTTTAAAGGTTACTAAATCACCCAAAATGAGCTCAAGAGCTTGAAAGGAGGCTATGGTTTTGATCTAAGCACAATGAGGAGTGATGGAGGTTGAGGGTGTGCAAACCCTAGCCATCAGATCCTTTAAATAGGGCCTTAAGCCCTAAAAAATAGGGTTAAAGCCTAGAACGTTACCACGTTGTGGCTTCTTAAAATGCCTGCGAACCAAAAGTGGTTGCCACGTTGTCATGATCTTCCCTAACACATCGTGCCACCAACTTCCACAAGATTTAAGCACCGAAATTTATACCTAAAAATCAAGTGTTACAACTCTCCCCCACTTGATTTGTCCTAGAAATCCGTTATTGCAAATAGATCGGGATACTACACTATCGTCTCCTCCCGGGGTTCCTAAGTCTATTTGGAACCCTTCCGGTGCTACCATTGCACCTTAAACAAACCCACTACATAGTTGTGCAAGGTTTTCATCTTCCTGTCGAAACTGACAATCAGTTATCCTATATAATTTAAACGCTCATCAACTTAAATGACATCCAAATGTATCATTGCGGAATCATCAACTAAACACTTTCGCATTTGAGAAACTTGAAAAGTGTTGTGGATCTGACTAAGCTCCACATGAAGATCTAACCGATAAACAACCTTGCCCACCCAGATAATAATGTTGAAATGACTAATGTATATGGGCCCCAACTTGCCCCGTTACCGGAACTAGATGACACTTTTCTATGGTGACACCTTTAGCACCACGAAATCTCCAACTTGAAACTCAAGATCAGAACGATGCCAGTCAGCATAACTCTTTTGTCTGCTCTGCACGGTTCGTAGTCTCCCGGACACTTGTTGTATCAACTCCGTGGTTTTATAATTAAAATAAATAATATTATACTATTATTTTGTCATCTATTCATATCGCCTAATTGAAATAAAAGTTATTATGCATTAATCTGTTCCTAAGCCTAAAAAAAAGAACAAACCATTTTCAATTTGTATGCTTCAGCATTTTGAATTACTTTTATATAATTTATTAAGCTACAAACCAAATTATCATTATCAAAATAGGATATAGTTTGTGTTTCAAAAATTGAACCAGATTTGATATTGTTACCAAAATAAATGAAATTTGATTGTAGTTTTCAAAATAATAACTCCAGATTTTTTGATATAATTTGGGCAATCCAATTAATATTTCCGGATTTTTATATATTTTTTTGGAAATTATAAGAATTATTTAGAAGTATGACACGTGCAATGTAGCATGGTAAAATAAGGACATATGGCATAATTGAGTTTTGTTTATTAGGAAAGGTAGAGATAGATTTATTTAGTTGTAAACCAAAATATCATTATCAAAATAGGATAAAATTTGTGTTTCAAAAATTGAATCGGATTTGATATTGTTACCAAAATAAGTGGAATTTGATTGTGATTTCCAAATAATAATTTTGGTTTTTTGATATAATTTAAGCATTAAAATTAACTAATTAATTACAATTAATATTTCTAAATTTTTATATAATTTTTGAAAATTATGAGAATTATTTAGAAGTATGACACGTAGAAATGTAACATGGTAAAATAAAGACAAATGGCATAATTAAGTTTTGTTTAGTAGAAAAAATAGAAAAGATTTTTTTGTATTTTGACAACTCCGAATGAATAGTTTTTGCTAAAAACGAGGTCAAACGGTATCAAAATAAATTTAGAATGACTTATATAAACGCCAAAATAAATTCAGACATAAGCCACACAAAATAAACTTTGTCTGATCTATTTTTAATTCTTTAACACCATCTTTGAATTATTTATACTATTTGCAGGTAAATGAAAAGAATGAAAACCCCTCTTGGAAAGCCATAAATTATTGTGGACGTGATCCTGATTTGATTCAACCCATCCATCATAATCTCAACACAGAAAGCATTTTTAGCCCGCTTTACAAAGGCGTTATCTACCTGAATAAACCCATACGAGTCGTTGCAGAAGCCCTGCAGAGATCGAGACTAGGCATCTCAGTTCCCCGTCACCCAACCAAATTCTACAAGAATCCCAAACTTCCATCAATGATCATCAAATGTGATGCAGTAGTAGTTGGCTCGGGCTCTGGCGGTGGTGTAGTTGCCAGCATTTTGTCTAAAGCCGGCTACAAAGTTCTTGTATTGGAGAAAGGGAACTATAATGCAAGAAGTAATCTTTCTCTTCTTGAAGGACCATCCATGGAAGAGATGTACCTTGGAAAAGGATTGTTAGCTACAAGCAACATGGAAGCTGTGATACTTGCTGGCTCCACAGTAGGTGGAGGCTCATCGATTAACTGGTCGGCATCGATCAAAACCCCAGAACATGTACTTAAAGAATGGTCGGAATGTTATGAGTTAGAGTTGTTTCAAAGTAGACTATATGAAGAAGCCATGAGTGTTGTGTGCGAGAGGATGGGTGTTCAATCTAAAGTGAAAGACGAAGGATTCAATAACATGGTTTTAAGGAAAGGATGCGAGGAATTAGGTTATCCAATAAATAATATCCCTAGAAATTCACCACCCAATCACTATTGTGGGTGGTGCTGCTTTGGCTGCAAAGATGGAAGAAAGAAAGGTACCTCTGAGACATGGCTCGTGGACTTGGTGGAATCTGGAAATGGTGCAATTCTACCAGGATGTGAGGCTCTAAAAGTTGTGCATGATCAAAAGAAAGGAAGGGATAGGAGCACAGCCAAAGGGGTCATCTTCGAGTTCCTAAACCAAGACGGATCTAGAGAAATTTGTTTGGCTGAGTCAAAAGTAACCATTGTCGCATGTGGGGCTATGTGTACCCCACAACTTCTTAAGAGAAGTGGGTTGAAGAATCCCAACATTGGCAAGAACTTACATATTCATCCTGTGGTAATGGCATGGGGTCACTTCCCTTCAGAGAGGTGGCCGGAAGTTGAAAAAAAGAGCTACGAAGGAGGAATAATGAGTGTCATGTCCACCGTGGTTGCAGACTTCAAGGGGTCAGGATATGGTGCTATCATACAAACACCATCATTACATCCTGGTATGTTCTCAGCACTAATGCCTTGGGTTTCAGGTTGGGACTTCAAGACACGGATATCTAAGTTCTCAAGAACAGCCCATATATTTGCACTGGCAAGAGACAAGGGTTCTGGGGAAATAGGACCGAAGACTTCGATTACTTACCAGATGGACATCACAGACGAAGAGAAGCTGAAGAGAGGACTAGAGAAATCACTAAGGATTCTTGCAGCTGCTGGAGCAGAAGAGGTAGGAACCCAACACAACAAAGGGAGAACAATACATGTCAAGAATGCGAGTTATCATGAGTTTGAAAGGTTTGTGAGAGAGGAAAGCTCAAGGGTGTTAAGTGATCTATCAACACCTCTATGTTCGGCACATCAAATGGGGAGTTGTCGAATGGGTGTTGAAGCAAAAGGGTCTGCTGTGAATCCGATGGGAGAGACATAGGAGGTGGAAAGGCTATATGTTGCCGACACGAGCGTTTTCCCAACAGCATTGGGTGTGAATCCAATGGTCACAGTCCAGGCTATTGCTTATTGCACCACTCAGTCTGTTCTGAATCTCTTAGAAGAATGAAGGATACGGGATACCCTATGTTAAATAAAGTTTAACAGTTTGGTTTGTGATTAAATGCTAAAATAATGTGATTTGGATATAAAATGTATAATAAGAGTTCGTCGGCAAATAAATCTATTACGACAATACTCTCTAAGCATGTTATATAACGTGTTAAAACAGTTAATTGCTGTTGGAAGTTTACCTAAAAGAAAATGATGAATTTCCTCTAAACAAACTTAAAAGTAACTTTTACATTTATTTTAGAATGAGTATTGTCATTCAATTTAAAATTAGTCACATAAGTTGAGAAACATGCTACCACTAAAGATTACGAGGAGACTTAAAACCAAATGATGGTTATAGCTTTTAACCTGGGTTAAGTTAAACCATTAAAAGGACTAAAACAGAAGGACTGCATAGGGGGGCCAACTTTTCGAAATTATAAAATACATATTCCGTTCATAAAATAGATTTTGAAATTTTACTTAATTCTGCAAAACTATTTTATGAGCAGTATTTTCATAAAATGTGAATAACATTGTAAATAATTCGTACTCTATGTTAGCATTTAGAGTAGAGATTTTTTTATAGCTTATTAGTCTTTGGGTATAGGTCACACTCTTCATATTAATTTTGTATCATCTCACTATGTTATTCTCTATACGATACCATATTTTTTAGAAAATTCCAATCACACCACTTTAATTTCCCTGACGTCTTTTTCCTTTTTTTTTTTTTCTTTTTTTCAGTAAAAAAAAAGGTTATAGTTTTATGGAACATACAAAATAAATAAATTAATCGCCCTCAGTATTAAGTGCATTTCAAAATAAGACTTTTCTTCGTGTCCGATTGATTCAATCAAACTTCTTTTATTTTCAACTGGATTTTCTAAATAAAGATACAACTTTATAAAATCTTTAATAAACGGACTAATTAGGTAGACCATGCTCTACATATTGGGCTGAGGGCTCCAACACTAGACCTATAATTCATGGGCTTCTCTATAATTCGTATTCCTATTTATTAGTCCTTAGTCCATTCAACTGAATTACTACAAATGTGTGCGCGGAGCGGTTTGGTGCGAATTAGAGTCAAAACAGCAAACCGCACCGCATATGCGGTCTGAATATTTTAGAAACCGTAAACCGCACCACAGATGTTCAAAACCGCGTTATGTTGTGCGGTTTATGCGGTTTGGTTACGGTTTGTACGGTTTGATGAATTGTTCAACATTAAATCTATCAAAAAGCCAAAAAAGTGACCATGTTAAAAAAATTGATTGCTTTCATTTTATAAAAACAAATACAATTTTCAAGTTAAATTGTGATTAATGCTACTATAGTTTTGTAAATATCATTGTTATTGTTTTATATTGCCATTATAGTTGCTATATTCTTGTAAACAGTGGGATCTTGATTTAATAAGGATTTAATGTTACATTATATATATTTGGTTATTGTAAGAAATATATTTATATACATCGTTTCTAAATCATAATTTGAAGTTATAACAAAGTAAGAAAAAAAATGTATATATAACATGCAATGCGGTGCGGTTTGAACCGCGGTTTTATAAATACAAACCGCAAACCATGCCGCCTAGAACCGTTAGATAAAATGATGAACCGCAAACCGCACCATGAAATTCTAAATTGCATTATGCGGTGCGGTTTGGTGTGGTGCGAACGGTTTGTGCGGTTTTTTGCACACCCCTAACTACAATGGCTCCATTGTTATCGAAAGGATTTTCCGGTTTTGTAAGTAGTTCGTTTTTTCATAATCTTCTTCGAATATCTGTTACACTTTTTCTTCATGTTCTATTTCTTGGTTCTAGATTGAAAGAATTTTGTAGCAAATGATGAAGGGATGTCGTTGTTGACCAATATTGAGAACTCCACTTATAGCCACGATGTATGTAGCCGTGTCAGTATTTCAATTGCCTCAACGGCGACCAACAACATTGAAAGTCCCTTAGTTAATAGCCTAAGTGTAGATTTTTTTTATTGACCACGTAATACCATTGAACCATACAGTTTTTTTTTAATCATTTAATATATATTAAGTGCTTAATATACTTTCATAACTTGTACATATAACCTTTCTACTTTAAACATATTTCATTTTACCCATTTAATTATAATTTATTTTTATATATTTTAAATTTCTTTACTAATTAATTATTTTTATTAAATAATCAATGACATCTCATCTATAAAATATAAATTTTATGACAATAATATAATATTTTCAATTTTTTATTTATTAAATTATTTGAAACTATAATATATTAATATATATATATATATATATATATATATATATATATATATATATAACCCCGTGGGAACCACAGTTTTAAAATTAATTAGACTTTTATAGTAAAAACTCAAAATTATTAATCATTTATTTTAAATAAATTACTAATTAAGAGATATTTTTATTAGTTATGTGAAATTATAATCGTTAATTTAAAAAAATATGTAAAATTAATTTTTCTTATATATTATACATTTTTTATTTGTGAATTAATGAATACAATAATATAAAATTTAAAATAGAGAATAAATATATTGACAAATAACATCACATTAATGAGAACCAATAGATTGACAAGTGGCAATACATTAATTAAGAGGTGTAATATGGTGGCACATGGAAAAATAGTTAGTCTTTTATTAGTATACTAGTTTATAATCTGTGGGAACCACGGTTATAAAATTAATTAAACTTTTATAGTAAAACTCAAAATTATTAATCAATTATTTTAAATAAACTATGTTTTTATTAGTTATAGGAAATTATAATCGTTGATTCAAATAAATATGTAAAATTAATTTTTAATATATATTAGAGATTTTGTATTTGTGAATTAATGAAAACAATAATATAAATTTTAAAATAGAGAATAAATGCATTGAGAAATAGCACCACATTAATAATGATATCTAATAAATTTAAATATTTAAAATAGAGAACTAATAGACTGACAAGTAGCAATAAATTAATTAAGAGGTCTAATATGATTAGACATGATAAAAGAACTACTCTTTTACTAATATATATATATATATATATATATATATATATATATATATATATATATATATATATATATATAGGAGTTAGGGAATATGTGGCTGTTATGTACCTAATATTAGGTATAGATGTAACGCCCGCAGATCCGGGCTAGTCAATTTAGAGGCAATATGGGTTGAAAATGACTTTTCGACAAAAGATTATTTAGAATAAATAATCTTAACCAAATTGTAGAATATGTCACAAGGTTTCCGTACATATAAAGAACGCCGAAATCCGAGTTATAACGAAGAAGTTATGGCCCGTCGAAGTTTTACGGCAAAACCAGCACGGCACCGGGAAGCGTAAATAGTGAATTTACGATAGAGCGAGATTTATCCTTAGCAATCTAAACCAAAGTCGTAGAATATGTTAAACTAAGAGCGTCGATAAAAAGAACACCCAAATCTGACTTCGTATGAGGAAGTTATGATTTTTCTAAGATTCGGCTTAGCAGTGCACGACCCGAAACTCGAATTTTAGTTCGAGCGGTTTTTGGCTTACGTGACCTAAATGAGAGTTCAAGATCTCATTAATAGGAACTCAACGGTAAAAATACAGACGAAAACGGAGTCGGTATGAAGGAGTTACGAATTCTTCGCGGTCATTTAACAGTCTAAACGCCTCGTACTGTTAAATTTAAGATCGGTCGAGAATTAGCCGACGGAGTCAAAATGAAAGTTGTAGATATTATTTTTACCTACGCGTGGATATAAAGAACGTCAAAAACAGAGGTCGTATGTGAAAGTTACGATTTTAGAAGTCGGAAGTGTGCTATGCGAAAATGGGTGATGTGGCACAATCTTGGCCATTGCTTTCTCCCCAAGTCTTGCCACTAGATGGTGACATGTGGCACCAAGTTCAGCCATTTTCACCCTATAAATACCACCTCTCCCACCCTCATTTTCTTCACACCTTTCCCATTCTTTCTTCTCTTTACTCTCTCTCTAGAACCTCTCTCTAGCCCCGAAATCCCCCGAAAAGCCTAGGGAACCTCCCTAGCACGAGGCGGAAGCCCCGGAGTGCTCGACGGCTCCGAGAAGAAGAGCTTTTCGGCTCGGAAACGCTGCTCCAAGCAAAGCCTGGTTTTCTATAAAACCCGTTGTAAGTGAGCTACGCCTACGCTATTTTTAATATAGTTTTTATTTAATTATATTAACGTTATTAAGAACATATAATAAATACTTGGGCTATTATTATGGGTTATATAAGTATTTTTTTAACGCTTATATAATAGTAATAATAGCTAGACTATTAATTAGTCTCGGCGAATAATAGACTAAAATCTATTGGTGATAATACTAGGTTTCGTCGAAAGAAATTATTTTAAAGTAAACGAAGCGCTGTCCGAGTACCGAGTCACCACCTTCTCAGGTGAGTGCATGGTCCCTTTCATCTTACACATAGATATGAAGTATTTATTATATAATTTACGTGTTGTGAGTGCATAGTCTCTTTCATCTTACACATAGATATGAAGTATTTTATATAAACTACGTGCTATGTGTGCATATTATCTGAATACTTGCTGTCTATGCTGGATGAACGTTTTATACATGTTTTAAAGGATTTAAACTGTATACGTATTTTATATATACGAATATGTTGGGTATGATGATGGGTAGATAAATGATGATAGATAGAAGATGATGTGAGTATACATTCGCAGCTATAGACTTAGTGCCTATGGGACAAACACCGGTAGCTATGGACTTAGTACCTGTTAGACGTTGGTAGCTATGGATTTAGTACCTGTTGAACATTGGTAGCTATGGACTTAGTACCTATTAGATAAAGACTGGTAGCTATGGATTT